CTTCTGTAAACAGGACTCAAAGCTCTCACTGATGATGTTCCTCCTCCCTGTCCCCAGCCAACAAGACCTCACCAACCTCTGGAGAGGGCAGCCGTTCTGGTGGGGGAGTCATCCATGTGTATGGTGATGACAACAGTGATAAATCTGCCAGCAGCTTCATTCCCTACTGCTCCATGGCTCAGGCACAGCTCTGTTTCCATGGCCACCGGGATGCTGTCAAGTTCTTCGTCTCTGTGCCTGGTAAGGATGAGCACAGCCCTTCCTCAGCAGGGGCTTGTCCCACCATCCCTTCTGCAGCCAGACCTGGAGCTGGTCTGCAGCAGACAGGGTCCAGGCCGTGGCTGGTCCCTGCTGTGGCTCACACATCTGTGTGAAGCTGCAGTGACTGCCAGATTCGGCCAGCAGAAGTAACTGGTCTGCCCGGTGTGTTTGTGTGTGTGTGAGCTGCATGGGGCTGAGCAGAGTCACTGACTCCACCTGTGTCCTGTGCCAGGCAATGTCCTCGCGACCCTGAACGGGAGCGTGTTGGACAGTCCTTCGGAGAACCCCAGCACAGCAACCACTGAGACCGAGGGGCAGAAGCTGAAGAACGTCCTGGTGCTGAGTGGAGGAGAAGGGTACATCGATTTCCGGATCGGTGAGTGCCTCTGGTGGGATCCATCCAGAAGGGATGAGGTGCAGGGCTTTGGTCGTGGAGTGAGGCATCACTGCTTGGGAAACTAAAGCAGAAAAGCCCTACACTCCTGCTGTGAGGGCAGATAAGAAGGATTTTCCTTCCACAGCACAAGGCTACCAAGCTCTGCCCTGTGCCTGCATGACTCCACAGATGCATGAATGGCCCTGGAAAGAAAAAACCCATCTGTGTTGCTGGTTCCAAACATTGCTGCCCCATTGTGATCACCTGTGCTGCTGAGGGTGCTCTGTGTGTAAACACTGGCTTCCCTGAAAGAAAAGAAGTGTCTCCCTGGTGCTGCAGCTATTGCTGGTTCCAAACATTGCTGCCCCATTGTGATCACCTGTGCTGCTGAGGGTGCTCTGTGTGTAAACATTGGCTTCCCTGAAAGGAAAGAAGTGTCTCCCTGCTGCTGCAGCTGGTTTGTCCCATCCATGCAGTCCAGCTTCAGAAAAGCAAATTGATGTAAATGTTCTCCAAGCACAGAGGATGATCTCAGCTCATGGTGCCTGTTGTCAGATTGCCAGGACTGTAACAGCCTCCTTGGAGTATTCCAGAGCAGTGCACTGAGGGATTTTATTTCTTGCCATTTTTACTCTCTGTTTTCTCTCCTCAGGGGATGGAGAAGATGATGAGACAGAGGAGAATGCAGGAGATGCCACCCAGGTGAAGCCAGTACTTTCCAAGGCTGAACGTAGCCACATTATTGTGTGGCAGGTATCATACATCCCTGAGTGAGAATTCCTCCTTTCCCACTATGTAAGTGTCCCTCTCCTGCCTGAATGCCAAGATGTACATACAGAATGCCTGCATTATACCTCCTGCTGGAAACCGACCCCAGACAACTGCAACAACTCCTGCCTCGGACTGTGACCCCCTCGAACCTCTGAACTCGCAGCTTTCATCTCAGGCCCGTGCACTTTCGGCGTGGTTGGATTCTTGTTTCTGCTCTGGAGCTGGCATCTACAAGGAGAGACGTGGCAGGGCATCATGAAGTGAGCTTGGAGCCAGGACTGTGGGAAGCCTTTGACCAGTGGCAGGAGCTGGCAGCCAGAGAGGGGTGGATCAGGTTCTTGGGCAGGTCGCCTCACTCCCACCTGCATGAGAAAGAAGTGTGTCCCCAGGTGTCCCCCAACAAAGCAGTGATGGTGAATCACTTCTGCAGCACCACAGCAGAAATCCCTTCTAGTTTACCAGTGGACTCTACACCTTATCTACCCTTAGGCACAGAAAAACATCCCATGGGCTGAGAGCAGCCAGGTCCAAGGAACCCTCAGGAGAAAGGAGCATCATGGTTTGGGCAGCACTTGTGCTGCTGGGCCAGAGAAGGCAGCAGCACCATTACTGTGTCACATCCTTGCAGGGGGAAAGTTCCCTCCTCTGCTGCTGCAGTTGCCTTAGCAGTCACGTGCTGAGTGCTTGTGTGTGTCCTGAGAGGATTGTTTGATGGGCTCAGATGGAAGATAGGTGTTTGATTGTGGAGGCCACATGGCTGTGGTAGCAAAGGGAACATACTGGAATGTTGGTTTTTTAAGAGCAGAAAAGGCAACAGTTTTAACTCTCCCTTCCAAACTCACAAGTTCGTTCTGAAAGGTTCAGGATAAAGTTATCTCTGCATTGTGTTTGGTGGCTTTTAAAACACAGGTGAGGGCAGATTGTGTTGATCTGCTGCACGTTCTGCATTAACACATTGAGATTGTTTTGACTCAAGGCTGTGTTCCCTTCCCAGGAGCTGCTGGAAGGAGATCTCTCTTTTCCTGTGGCTGTCTGTTAGAAAAGACTGGTGAGGTGCAGTCAAGGAATAGAAAGGCTCTGTCTTACCTGAGGTCACACGGATTTCCCAGCCTATTTTACCATTGCAAGCACTGACTGTAAGTAGTTTGAAAAGCTGGAAATTTCTCCTGAAAAAAATGGACAGCCCCCAAGAAAAATGGTGATAGCCCTTCCCGTGTAAGCAGTGCTGTGTGATTGCAGATGTGTGTCCTGCTTACCAAAGAAGCAGCAAAAAAGGGGGGTTTGAACTCAAGGTGCAGAATGTGGCAGCTCCAGGTGTAAATACAACGGTGTGTTCTCCCTTTCTGACAGGGGAAACAGTGCTGTCCCACAAGGACAAGCTCTGTGTCCCTTGAACACTCCCTTCTGGATGTGCAGGGCTAGGGTGAGTCGCAGTTAGTGATGAATTTGGAAGCTCCTGGTGGTCATCTAGTTTATTCCCTGAGTTGAGCAGCACCCTGGGGTTCACAGGGACATCCTTGTGACAGTATGGGGACAGCTGGGCAAGCCTCCATCTCCTGGAACGCTCCCAGCTGTGTCCTGTGCTTGCTGCCATGGACCAAGGTGTGTGTTCTAAAGCTCCTGGTGTGCTGCTGGGATGTGATATTCCCAAGGGATGCTCCAACATGTGGCATCTCTTCTGACACAGCAGCACTGAAACAATTTTCAGATCCACAGTTCAGGAAGGGCTGGGGCATAGATTTCCCCTGCAAGGAGGCAAGAGACATCTCTGGAGAATAGAGTCCTTAGCCAGGCACAGTGTTGGCCACGCTGCCTGTGAGCAGTGCTGGTGACACACACCCACACCATTCCTCCCCAAGGCAGGAATCCAGCTGGAGGGTCTATTCCAGGGGTTGGAACACTGGACTCTGTGGCTGGCACTGGGCTAAGGGATGCCTGGAGACACCAACTGCACATGGGGGGACCTTTCACCAGGGACATTTCACTGCTGACCATGGCAGGCTTCTCATTCACTTTCCCCAAATACTTTCTGCTAGGAAGAGCTCTTTGGATCCCAACACAGAGCACACTGAAGTTAACAATATAACATTTAGAGCACAAATTCCACAGTCATGTAACAGTTCATCAGTCAGAGCCAGGGAAACTTCAGAATTTGGGCTAGTTGAAGGGGAAAAAAAAAGCCCTGGTAGGGTCCAGTTCCTTAGCTCTGTTGACTCTTCCATAGGAAAGTCAGAATTGCAACATTTGTACCTCTGACTGTTTGTTCTCTGTCTGGTTTGAGCAGGTGAGGGACAGTACTCAGACTCCTGCCACCCACTGGACCCTGGCAACACAAGAGACCAGTATGAGGCCTCTCCCACCAGGGTCCTCTGCAGCTCAGTGCATGTTTTCCTCCGAGAGAAGCATATGGCCCAGAGGGGCAGCTGCAGGGAGGAGACCCAACCTCTCCTGGCAGCTCCTGCCACCTTGGGTGGCTGCAGAGCAGCAAGGTGAGAACTGACTGGCTTCAGCACACTTCCCTGTCATATCTCCACTGTGATGTATGTAAAGTACCTTGTATGTTACAAAAGGATTTTAAAAAGTGTCTTAAGGCCTGTAAACTTCGCTGTTTGGTCTGAAGATGGCATTCTGTAAAGAGCCTGCTGTATGAATACGTTCCCATGCTTTGTCCCCTATGCTATCAACAACAAACCATATCTGTTCTGTATGTAATAAATGTGTTAACATGGGCTGGGGCAGCACGTTGTGTTCCTGGGAAGGCACTGGGATTGCTGCTGTCTTTAACAGCAGGACACTAAAAGCTCAAGTGTTCACCGTTTTTAAGCATTTAGTGGGAAGAAATAGTATGTGGTTGACTCACAGGGTTGGAGCAGAAGGGGCTGGTCCAGCAAGCCACAGCCTTTGCATCACCAGAGCTAAAATCATTTCTCCCATCTCCTGACAGCCATCTCTGGGACCGAGCTGGATAGCTCTGGATAAGCTTAGTATCCAAGTTGTGTTCCTCACATGTTCACTGCATCATATGGAAGTAACCCAGATGATTCTGCAGTGTTCAGAGAACCCAATGCTCTGCCTGTGTTTGGTAAGCTAATGGCTCTGCATTTGACCCTTGTGATGATGTCCAGACACTGAAAAAAATGCCCAAGTTTTCTTAGAACTGTGCTGCAGAAATAAGAAAACATTTATTTTCATTTGCAGATACATTTGTTCACAGCTCTGTGAAACACTTCGATATTCTCAGTCATTTTTTCTGTGATTCAGATAGGACACAAACGATCTAAAAAATGTTCTTGAAAACTAATTTTCAGGCTATGAAGAAAATGATGCTCCAAAGAACTGCAGTTGGCTGATAGGAGCTCTGTATTCAGACACTATTCAAGAATATTCCTCTGCTAACTGAGACCAGAGTTATGGAAAAAGAGTCTGAATGTATCTGCATCTTCCCTTTCAGATGAGGTGACTGTACAGGGCTGGGGAGAAAGCCAGGAAACCTGGCTCCACTCTGCCACACAGGGCACGGGGGGCTCTGTGAGGAGATGTGCTTCAACAGGCAGGGAGAGCATGCTGGAAGCTCAGGACACAGAACGAGTCTTTATACTGGTGTCCCTGTAGCTCTTCTCTTTCCATGCTTACGAGGAGTGGCCAGAACCTTCTCCACATCAATCATTGGCTCCTCTGTGATTGGTTTTCCCTCCTTCTGCCACTGGGCGAGGATCATGGCTCGGAGCAGGGGAGGGTAAGGCAGGAACCGAACAGTCTCCACCTGCACTGGGGTGAACTTCTTGAAGTTCTCCTCCTCATGCTTGGGCACCATACGCCAGTCATGGTACATGGCTTTTTCAATCTCCCTCTCCTCCTCTTCGGTTTTGCCTGGGAAAAGGTGAGGAACACCAGTGGGTAACACCATCACAACAAATTCCCACTGTGAAACACAACGAGTGTTGACTCTGGGACCTAAAATGCTATGACAAGCATGAGAAAATGGAGTTCTCACAGGGCTGGACAGAATCTTCCCTGCTATATGATGGGATCTCACTTCTGTCAGAAGTGAGAAACAGGCTGGAAGGGCCTGTGGAAGCTTAAAGGACCATAAGCAAGTCATTCCAGTCCTGTGGTGACTCCCTCTCTTCATGTAAAATGTCACTTAGTCTTTCTCAGGTTCAGTTTCCATGGCTAAGGAACAAGAGCAGTTTCTCCCTACACTGATGACAGCTCCCCGGGAAATGGAATACTAAAAATGCCCAACAACTTTAAAACCTTTGAAAGAGAACTAATTCAGTAACTCCAGTAAGGGACAACTGTATACTTAATATAAAGCAGCTCTAAAAGAGAAAATTCACTCACTGAACTCCAAGCATTAATTTTGAATTCCAATAACTTACTTGCAATTCCAGTAATCGCAGTTCAAGTCATTCCAGTTACTTGCCACTGCACCATCTTAGTGACAATTTTACCTGGACAATTATACCTGCACTCTGCTCTGCCATTTCATTTCTACCTCTTAGGATAGAATCATAGAATTAACCGGGTTGGAAAAGACCTCAAAGATCAAGTCCAATCCTACCGTGGTTACTAGCCCATGGCACTAAGTGCCACATCCAGTCTCAGCTTGAAAACTTCCAGGGATGGTGAATCCACCACCTCCCTGGGCAGCACATTCCAATGCCTGAGCACTCTCTCTGTAAAAAAGTCTCTTCCTAACATCCAACCTAGCCCTCCCCTGGCAGAGCTTGAGTCTGTGCCCTCTTGTCCTGCTGCTGGTTGCCTGGGAGAAGAGACCAACCCCCACCTGACTCCAACCTCCTGTCAGGGAGTTGCAGAGGGTGATAAGGTCTCCCCTGAGCCTCCTCTTCTCCAGGCTGAACACCCCCAGCTCCCTCAGCCTCTCCTCATGGCACTTGTGCTCCAGTCCCTTCACCAGCCTCGTTGCTCTTCTCTGGACCTGCTCCAGCCCCTCAATGTCCCTCCTGAGCTGAGGGACCCAGAGCTGAGCACAGTGAAGTGTGGATGAGCTCCACAGCTGCCTGATGTGCTCATTCTGTGCCTTACCTTCAAAGGCTCAGAACATCCAACACCCTCTTAATGCTGCTGTTCCCCAAGGTTCCATTCCTGGGCCTAGATCCTATCTTCTTTTGAAACTAAACCACGGGGAACTTTTCTCACGAGCAGATGGGAGAAACACACACATTTCCTAGGCAGGCAGAGTTTCCCTGCCTGGGAAACACGCGCGGTGCTCTCCACGCGTGCGGGACAAAGCGAAGCTTTACCTCTGAAGGTCAGGTATCCCCAGGCCCTGCCGTGGTCCATGTTCTGCAAAGAGAAGAGGCAGCGGTTGAGGGCAGGGCAGGGCAGGGCGCGGGGGGCGCGGGCGGGACGGGG